TCAATCTGTTGTGCTACATCGTTTTGATTAAAGGATATAAAGAAAATCTGGCCTCACACAGATATACATTTGGAAAGGGAGGAGTATTTTCATAGCCTGTTTGACAATTGTGGATATTCTTGAATCCTATACTAAAACTCCAACATGTAGTACTTTCTTTCTTTGTTTTTCATTAAAATTTTCTTTGAAGTATAGTTGACATGCCATATTACATTAGTTTCAGGTGTATAACATAGTCATTCTATAATTGTATACATTATAAAATGCTCACCACAATAAGTGGTTACCATCTGTCATCATACAAAGTTATTACGATCTTATTGACTGTATCCACTATGCTGTGCTTTTCATCCCTGTGACTTGTTAATTTTATAACTGGAAGTTGATACCTATTTATCTTTCTCACCTATTCCACCCATTCTCTCACTGCCCTTCCTCTGGCAACCACCATTTGTTCTATGTATTTATGAGTCTATTTTTGTTTCTTTTGTTGTTCATTTGTTTTATTGTTTTAGATGCCACATAAAAGTGAAATCATACATTTCTGTCTGACTTATTTCACTTAACATTATATCATCTAGATCCATCCATGTTGTTGTAAATGGAAAGATTTCCTTTTTAATGGCTGGGTAATGTTCCAGTGTGTGGTACTGGAATACTGTAACAATATTAACAATGTTGTTAATACATTTTAACAATATTAATTCTTCCAATCCATGAGCACAGAATATCTTTCCATTTATTTGTGTCCTCTTCAATTTCTTTCATCAGTGTCTTAGAGTTTTCAGAGCATGGGTCTTTCACCTCCTTTATTAAATTTATTCCTAAGTATTTTGTTCTTTTTGATGCAGTTATAATTGGAATTGTTTTCTTAATTTCTCTTTCTACCAAGGAGTAGCTCCTTAAACATTAGTTGTAATGTGCAGTCTAAAACCCTGCCAATGGACTTTTCTTACTTTGTGACATTAAAATACAATGGGCTGACCTGTACTTTGAATGAATCTTTTACCATTGCATAATTTTCTAATACTATGCATTTGATTATTTGGAAACTATGGGTTCACTGAGTTATGCAGATGTTCCAAATGTTAATACATTTCATTATACAGTATCAACCAAATCACATTTGTTGATAGTTGCACCAGTTTCATCAGAAAAGTGTATGGTAAGAAGCTGTCAAGCTCATAGTAATGGATATGTTTCCCAAAGTTCTGAGTTCACTCAGGTGATCACATTTTATCATTGACAACAAATGCTAGTTATTTTCTTTGAAGTGAGAAGTTCATCTTATTCATTTTCACATCTTACTAATCATAATTTGTCAGTTGTTCTTTTGAGTAAAAATAGCAGTCCATGAAAAAAGGCAGTAGTTCATCTCATAACTCAAACATGCACAAGTGTGTTTTCCCCAGGGGTGACCGTTGTGCCTCAGTGTGTGGCAGAAGGGCTCCACGCGTACTCCCCATTGTGTCACACAGAAGATTAAAAAGATTTAGAGCCAGGGATTGAGATTTAACAAAGTTAGTAATTTTTACTGCTTCATCAAGGTCTTTCTTAAGTGAAACTGGCTTTTTAAACAGTTGTGAGTGTGTGATAGGGAAGAACACAGGGGAATAACCTCCTTGATACCACTGCCTTGATTCCTGCTGAGGCACCGTAGGTTTTCCCCACCATGCCTTTTGCATCATTAGTGAGAATGTCAGCACAGTACAAAAAGGCAGATAATGTCTCAATATTGTTATAAAATCATTTTGATCTGGATAATTGTTTATCAGCTAAAGTAACCTTATATTTTGGTTTGATAGAAGGGGATTAAAAATCAAGTTTTTTTAAAAAAGGAGTCTCATTTGTCTCTAGGTCCTGCATTTATCCTAGCTGTTTTGGAAACATCCAAGCTTTGATAATGATTCCCTTTATCAACGTGGACTCTTCCTCCTTTTTATTCTGTAAATATGTTAAAACAGCCTTCTGGTTTTTGCAGATGTGTCAGTGATGTTCCTTTCAGGCTTATGGTAGCCTAAAGTCTCTATTCAAAAAGCTTCTCTGCTTTCCCCTAATTGTTGCTGTGGGATGGGCAGCTAAGGATCCCTAACTGTCCATAACTACAAACGTGCTTGGCCATAATATTGCTTGAGGCCATTCAGAAAGTACATGAAAAAAAAATAACATTTCTTCGATTTGAAGTGATTGTCAAAACACAGATTGTTTAGCAAACCTAGAATCTGAAACTACAACTTTCCACTGAGAAAATTGCATTTGCTTGTATGTGACTATTTTCTCTTAAAATTCCCAAGCAAATTAGTGGTTTCTAATATGCCTTCTTTTTCATAATGTGATGAAACAGTTCACCCATTTATATATAGTACAGGGTTGTGTTGTTTCATTGCACTTCACTTTCATTGCACTTTACAGATACTGCATCTTTTACAATTTGAAGTTTTGTGGCAACCCTGTTGAGCAAGTCTGTTGTCACCATTTTCCCAATAGTATTTGTTCACTTTGTGTCACATTTTGGTAGTTCTCACAATATTTCAAACTTTTTAAATTATATTTGTTATGGTGGTCTGTGGTCAGTGATCTTTGATGTCACTACTATAATTGTTTTGGGGCGCCAAGAACTATGCCCACATAAGATGGCAGACTTAATAAGTGTTGTGTGTATTCTGACTGCTCCACCAACCAACAGCTCCCCCATCTCTCTCTTTGGGCCTCCCTGTTCTCTGAGGCACAATGCTATTGAAATTAGGCCCATTAATAACCCAGCCATGGCCTCTCAATGGTCAAGTGAAAGGAAGCACGTCTCTCACTTTCATTCAAAAGCTGGAAATGATTCCTCTTAGCGAGGAAGGCATGCCAAAAGCCAAGGTAGGCAAGATTCTAGGCCTCTTGCCCCAAACACTTGGCCAATTTGTGAATGTAAAGGAAAAATTCTTGAAGGAAGTTAAAATTGCTACTCCAGTGAACACACAAATGATAAGCCAGTGAAACAGCCTTATTGCTGATAGTGAAAAAGTTTGAGTGGCCTCAATGGAAAATCAAACCAGCCACAACATTCCCTTAAGCCAAACCTAATCCAGAGCAAAGCCTTAACTCTGCAATTCTGTGAAGGCTGAGAGAGGTGAGGAAGCTGCAGAAGAAAAGTCGGAAAACAGCAGAGGTTTAAGGAAAGAAGTGTCTCCATGACATAAAAGTGCAGGTGAAGCAGCAGGTGCTGATGGAGAAGCTGCAGCGAGTTACCCAGAAGATCCAGCTGAGATCATTAATGAAGGTGGATACACTGAACAACAGATATTAAATGTAGATGAAACAGCCTTCTAGCAGGGAAAGATCCCATCTGGGACTTACATAGCTAGGGAGGAGAAGTCAGTGCTGGCTTCAGAGCTTCAAAGGACAGGCTGACTCTCTGGTTAACAGCAAATGCAGCTGGTCATATTAGGTTGAAGCCAGAGCTCATTTACCATTCTGAAAATCCTAGGGGCCTTAAGAATGATGCCTGTCTACCCTGCCTGTGCTCTGTAAATGGAACCACAAAGCCTGCATGACAATGCATCTCTTTACAACATGGTTTACTGAATATTTTAAGCCCTCTGTTGAGATACTCCTTAGAAAAGAAGATTCCTTTTAAAGTATTACTGCTCACTGACAATGTGCCTTGTCATCCAAGGGCTCTGATGGAGACGAACAGTGAAGATTCACATTGTTTTCATGCCTGCTGACACAGTATCCATTCTGCAGCCTGTGGGTCAAAGAGTCATTTTTACTTTCAAGTCATCTTATTTAAGAAATACATTGCATAAAGGCTATAGCTGCCATAGATGGTGGTTCCTCTGATGGATCTGGTCAAAGTAAACTGAAAACCTTCTGGGAAGGATTCCCCATTCTATATGCCATTAACGTTTGTGATTCATGAAAAGAGGTCAAAGCATCAGCATGAACAGGAGTTTGGAAGAAGTTGACTCCATGCCCCATGGGTGACTTTGAGGTTCAAGACTTCAAGGGAGGCAGTAACTGCAGATGTGGTGGGAAGAGGGAGAGAGTTTGAAGTGGAGCCTGAAGATGTGATTGAATTGCTGCAATGTCATGATAAAACTTGAGTGGATGAGGAGTTGCTTCTTATGGATGAGTGAAGAAAGTGGTTTCTTGGAATAGAACCTACTCTAGGTGAAGATGCTGTGAAGACTGTTGAAATGACAACAAAGAATGTAGACTATAACACAGACTTGGTTGATAAGCCTGTGGCACGGCTGGAGAGGACTGAATTTTGAAAGAAGTTCTACTCTGGGTAAAATGCATCAAGTAGCATCATATGCTATTGAGAAATCGTTTGTGAGAGGAAGAGTTGACTGATACAGCAAACTTCATTGTCTTATATTAAGGAACTGCCACATCCACCCCAGCCTTCAGCAACCACCACCCAGATCTGTCAGCCGCCATCAACATAAGGCAAGACCTTCTACCAGCATAAAGATTGTGATTCACTGAAAGCTCGAGTGATGGTTAGCATTTTTTGGCTGTAAAGTATTTTTTAATTAAGGTATGTGCATTGTCTTTTAGACACCATGCTATTGCACACTTAATAGACTACAGTATAGTACAAACATAACTTTGTATGTGCTGGGAAACCAGAAATATTCATTTGAGTCTATTGCGATATTTGCTTTATTGAGACCTTTATTGAGGTCTGGAACCAGACCCACAATATTTCTGAGGTATGCCTGTATTTAGAAATGCCTTCATAGTTAGTCCTAGTAGTACAGTAAATAAGATTAAGTATCATTATGCCTATTTCAGAGCTGAGATATTGAGGCATGGAGACAATTCAGGGGCTTGCATGAGATCACAAAGTTTAGAAGTCATACTCTGGATACTTATCAGTATGCAAGAAATAGAAATTAGTAAATCGTCAGAACTGCTGTGTTGTCAGTGCCCAGAACTGTATCTGGCACATGGTAGAACTCAATAAGTACTTGTTGAGTGAATGAATGGACTTTTCTTTTCAGGCTTGTATTGATGAAAATTTGGACATGGTGAAGTTTCTGGTGGAGAACAGAGCCAATGTAAACCAACAGGACAACGAGGGCTGGACACCCCTTCACGCAGCAGCTTCCTGTGGCTATCTCAACATAGCAGAGTGAGTCTCTGTGTGGGTCTGGATTATTTGTAGAAATAGCCTTCATTTCTTTTCTGCTCTTAAGAATTTGAATTTCATAAATACTTATAATCTCTATTACAAATTATAAAAGCAGGAATTTGAGTTGTTTTTTAGAAATAATTGACACTGTGTCTTACATAGCTGCTAAATCCACATTTCATTTGCTCCTGTTTTCAGGCGGTTCACGTGTGTTGGGATATGCGGAGGCAGCTTCCGTCTGTTGTACTGGCTTCAGTTTTGAGCGGCTATAGCTAACCGCATATGTAGAAAGGCCTCGAGATTTTTTCTGATCTTCTTTGTAAACTTGTTATCTTGTTTAAAAAAAAAATCAGTGCTTAATACAAACGAAAGTGGTGAATGTCTGGCATATTCACTACAATATCATATAGTTTATAGCAAAAGAATAAGCCTAAACATATGGACAAAGGAAAGGTAGGGATTGGGCTGTGTTTTCCACATTAGTTGAATGGGTATGTTTATTAAGACACACAAGTAGCTACTTATTTCCATGACAACTAGTGGCCCATCCCTTGGGAAGGAGAATCCTGACCACGTAGTGTCTGGTATAAGGGGAATTCAGTAAATGTCTTTTGAATGAAGGAATGATCAGGGAGGTTATTTTTAAACAAGAAAGAGACTTTGGTGGTTGAAGCATCTTTAAATGAGTATATTCTACATGAGAATAAATTCAGATTGATAAAGCAAATTCCCTAAATAAAATAATTATATTCTGTGGCCCTTTGAGAATCATATTACTTGTTTTAAGACTCATTTTTAATATGATTAGAGCTCCATTACATTTTTCTTATTCAGCGACAGCTGGGAGAATTATGTTGGCAGCTTTGTAGAGACCTGGGCATGGCTTCCCATGGAATCCGATTTGCCCAGGTTTCTTGGCACAGAGCCTGCATCAGTGGTTTGCTGTTGAGCCTGGGATGCTCAGTGGGAGAAGTTAAACAAAGGGACAGTCAGAGCCAGGAAAACAGCACTGGTGTCTGACTGGGCTGCTTGTTCTAGAAAGTGGGTGACTGGATTGGCCCCAAAGCCAGCAGCAATGGACAGTGCGGTTTTCTTCGGTCTTGATTCTTCCCTCTCTTCAAGTTAGTGAAAGTCGGCCACCTCTTCATCCCCTGGCTGCCCTCTTTTCCAAGTCTCATGGAAAAGGCCTTACCCACTAATGCCAGCATTCTGATGCCTAAGTTAAGGTGGCTTCATTCATAGATTGTGATTTTTACTTAAAAAATATAACCAAGAAACATTTATAGAGCATGTTAGCACCTCATTATTGATATTGGACTATATTTTCAGGTTGCTTGGTTGTGATTTTTGAACTTCCTAATATTATATTGAAGGATTCCACTTTTTTTCCATTGGAAGGTAACAAGCAGAACTCATGCTTAGAATCAGGATCACTTGGTTGGCATTGTTCACAGAATCTCTTTTTTTCCTTTTATGAAGCTAAGTACGGAGAATGATTGTAAATGCTTTTCTACAGTGGTTTCTTTAATTCATCTCTATGGATAAAAAAAGTTCTTTTGGGAATAGTCGAAAATTTAATGGTCTCTTGCCCAAATAAATATCACCTTGAGTGACATGAATCGTTAAGAGTTAACTGTTTCCCCATAAAAATTATTACTAATTAAATATGTGAAGTCTGACCAGGAGAGAGATGTTCTCGACCAGAATCTATTGCGTGGGGGTGGGGGTGGTCAGGACAGCCTCCTCTAACTTATCTTTCATTATGCATATCTTGATTTCGTTGTCACTATTGACTTATTTGTGGTATGTGGCATTACTTTCTATACAATGGGAAAGTCTCATTGCTCATATTATCCATTTTGGTTACTTTACCTCAGGACTTATAAACAGTGTTTTAGATAAGATGAGCACTTCATCATTTTATCATTTTTCTGTTTGTATGTTAAAGGTCTTAAACTTTACACCCTTATTCCTAGAATCATTAGGAATTCTAAGTTTCAGCCGAGTGGAAATGAACGAACGGTAAACTGGCTTTCTAGGAAGAATCTAAGTGCCTGCGATTTAATATTCCATGATGACCTTTTTTGTCTCATATTTGAACTCAGTATGGCATAGTTTTTTAAAAGAGATTTAGAGGCTTCCCCTCTCACGCTCCTTGTAGTTATAGTTCAGGCTTATTGCTAGTTAGTTGGATGTCTTACATTTTAATTGCCATTAAGTCATTAATTTAGAAGCAGCAGATTGACCCAAGGGTATAGCATTTAGTTTGGCTTCATAGTTTATTTGGATGCGAATTTATTGAGATTTTTTTTTCTCCCTTAGAATAGTAGCAAAAAAGACTTTATATCAGTGATGAGCTAGGAAGGATAGGAAGACTTTATTTTCTAAGGGGCATGTTTATTGAGCTGATGGGTATTTCTGAGCCTCTGGGTAGCTGTGAAGGTTCCTAGGGGTAAAATAAACATTACCCCATAGATTGATATTTATTCTTACTCATGTAAAAGAGGTTTTTACTTTTTTCTTTCTCCTAATAATGGTTTAGGAAGGTAGCCTTAATTAGCAGTGATTTTCTTCTGACTCATGGCGAGCCACATTCCTTTCCACAAATGAGTCTTCTTGTGCATGGACCTAAGAACATGTCAGAAAAAGGAAGAGCGCGGGCCTGTATGACCAGGTGACATCGTGTCTGATCCAACAGGGTTGGAGGAGATGTCAAAACAGAGCGGTTCAGATGCTCCATTTACTTCCAGCAACATTTAGGGAGTGCCAAGAGGAAAAAAAGTGTCAGATGCCATGCCAGTAATAATGGTGAGGACACACAGTTGTCCTCAGCAGCTTTCAGCCTGGTCAGGTGCTTTCATCAAGATACAGTGTACATGACAAAGGTCCAGAGCTAGTACTGGGAAGGGGTTGGGGGAGAGGGTGGAGTTACAGGAAGGACAGAGAAAATTCAGTTGGTGAGAACAGGCAAATGCTTCATGAAGACAAAAGCATTTTACATGGACCTTGAAAGATGTGAAAAGTTTCTAAATGGGAAAGGTGAAGGGGAGGGTGTTCCATCCAGTTGGAGGAAGTGACTTGGGTCGTGTCAAAGAGCTGAGTAAGAGGGCGATGTGTTCGGGAACAGAAGTGGTTTAGTTGGAATACGTCACAGGGGACAGTTCAAGCCAAACAGCATTTATTGAGTACTTACTATGTGTATCATTTGCATTTTGGTTTTCAGGGTCTGAGAGGTATAGTTGAATGTTCCTTTGGCCTGAAGGAGAGGTGCTATTGAATATGTGTAAATGAAGAGGTTATTGATAGATAACTGATACCCAGTAGAATTAAGAATACAGATACAGGAGTTAGCCTTGTGGAATTGAAAAGTCTTGTCTTCCTCTGAGACTGTGAGGGAAGGAAAGGGACAGTTGAAAAATACATGAGTTGTGGGTACCTTTGTATTTTATATATGTGGAATTTATTTATAAATTAAAAACATTTATTGAGGCTCTGTTATACTAGGTAGTAAGCACTGAGAAAGCAAAAACATGGTCTTAATCTAATCTTTGTTGATTCTCCTCTGCCAGCTCTTTAAATACAGTGGCCATATATTGATTATCTTTTTAAAATCTTCAATCTCTAAAATGTGGTACCTTAAACACAGGAGGAGGTTAATAATTGTTTACTGAATTGTTGAATGGTTGAAGTCTATTTTAAATAGTTTTTCTTTCCCCTGTAAATACTTCTGAGTATTTGATAGCACTCCCAGCATTATTGGAATTCTCACTGGCCCAAAAATAACTTGATCTAGTACAAAGATGAACTACAGTAATAGATAAGAAGATGTGGTATATATACACAATGGAATATTACTCAGCTGTAAGAAAGAATGAAATCTTGGCTTTTGTGGCAATGTGGATGAACCCAGAGGATATTACCAAGTGAAATCAGACAGAGAAAGACAAATACCATATGACTTCACTTATATATGGAATCTAAAAAGCAAAACAAACAAACAAACAAACAGAAATAGACTCATAAACACAGAGAACAGATTGGTGGTTGCCATAGAACCTGGGGGTGGAGGGATGGGTAAAATAGGTAAAGGGGGAAAATAAATTAGTGAGAATGTTTAATATCTTGATCTGGTGATGATTACATAAGTATATATACATATCAAAATTCATTTAGCTGTACACTAAGGTTTATGCATTTTATTGTATGTGCCTTAGTTAAAAATTAATAAAATTAACACAGAAACAGGCAAAAATTATTTTTAAGGTAATAAAAACAAGAACTAGTCTTGAAGTCAAAAGACTAGGGCCATAACTTTTGCCATTTGCCGCTCTGTAACTTTAAGAAAACTGCTCAACATATATGACCCTCAAATTCTTAAAGTAGGGGTAATACTACCCACATCACCTACTTTATAATACTGTCTAAGACTCATTATATAATTCGTGTGAAAGTACTTTGAAAATCTTTATAAGCCTTTAAAAATCATTAGACCTTTCTTATTCAGGATCAAGTTATATTTCAATATAGAATCTATTTAGAACTTATGTATTTTTTCAGCAATTTAGTTTCCTCTTGGAGTATAGAAGATTTCATTTAGATGGCTGGTTGAAGGGAGAATTTTGTGGAGGTAGATTTAGGTAGATTCATGCAAATTCTAATACATCTTTTATTTTTCTATTTTCACACCCTAACACTACTTCATATACTATACTGTGTGTTGGGAAAGTTTTTGTGAGAATTACTTCTTTACATAACCCCTGAGGACTCTAATTCTCAGTATTTTAAGTGTAGTGTGTCCTTTTGGGAACCTGTGTTTGAACCAACACAGGGATAGTGGGTTAGGGCTGCATGTCTTCCTTCTGGTGTTTAGAAAGTCTCCTGCTATCCACTGGGAGAGAGAAGGTGGGAGTTGGGAATATGAGTGAGAAATGAATCCCATTTGTTGGCATTGCTTGTCAGGAAATAGTGAAGCTTTCAGTGTGAATTACTGAAGGCTAATCAAGGTAGAAATTAATAATGGAACACCTTATCTGGGGACCTTATTTAAAACCCCAGAGGCCTTGCTCTGCACTCAACTCCAGATGCATGAGTATAAATTGATATTAGACTTACAGAGATAAAACTGATCCTGGATCTTGTCTAAACAGGTATTTCATTAACCATGGAGCCAGTGTGGGCATTGTGAATAGTGAAGGTGAAGTCCCCTCTGACCTTGCAGAAGAGCCTGCCATGAAGGATCTTTTGCTGGAGCAGGTGAAGAAGCAAGGTAACCGAAGGGATAGGAGGGGGCCAGGAGACTCTCAAACATCGTCACTTACAGAAAAAAATCCATTTGCTGTGTAGAGCTTTTCATTATCATATGATAGCCGAGAATTAGCTCTGTCTGCACAGCATGAGTCATCAATTGCTGACCTCATGTGTCCTCTTAATAATACACAATAGGCCGCGTGTCAAAAGGATGGCCAGTCATTCCTTGTATTTGCCATTCTGAGGTTACGTGCCAATTGTGTAGTTAGGATCAACTTGATTATTCCTTGGTGATACAAATTAGACTGATGAGAAGCATAAAAATTTTGTACTTGCGTACATGGTATGTTGGTACACGTTGCAAGTACAAAGAAAGGATGAGAAACAATGTAAATTTGAGTATTGTGTTGACCAAATTCTGTTCATGACTGCATCTTCTCTTGATGAGAGCTGAAAGTGGTGCTAGTAAAGTTATTTATTATGTCTGAA